GGCGGTATCTTCAACTACGTACTCGCTTCTATTCATGTTGTTAACACCTTATTTAAGCCGTGATTTTTTTATTTAAACAATGATCTGCCGCCAACCGAAAGGTCATTGTTTGCAATTTAGCGTATAAAGTACAGGAAGTCGGGCATTTAAAGGCCCAGGTATACTATAAATACGCTCCAAAACAATAGGGATTATTTCCTTGCTTGTTACGCTGTAGTAAACAGCTCCAGCCAAGCTCCAGTAAAAACGCGTTTTCTCGAACTTACATGTCTATTATGTCGTGCCAAAGTGGATGCATTGTGACTATGAATATCACAGCAGTGACTGTGTGTAGTATTTATGACAATAAATAGTGTACGAGCTGAGATTTTGGCGGATAAAAGTAAAAAACATGAACCGGGGAAAGGGATGCGCGACTAATCTTGAATAATTACTATTGTCAATCAAAGTCACGTGATGTTGGACCGCTGGAACAGGATGCGTCATAGGCTATGCAAGTGTTTAATACCATGCATTAAAATAGCCACACCTCCAATTCACACTTGCCCGGGGCAAGTGAATTGGGCCTTTAATAACTTGGCGACAGAGTGGGACATCTTGCTACATTGTTACATTCCGACTTCAATTCTTAATTTATTCAAGTAATTCCCCATGAAAACACATCCTAACAAACCACAAAAATGCGGATCCTGAGATGTATTGCTCAACAACCAGAAGAAACAGTTTATTTGTTTATTCACTGATAGACCAATACAGACTATTTTGTCTGCCTACATAAACTGCTACACTCTTTTCCTCTTTCCTTCGTTTCAACGTTCTCAATTCATCACGCGACAAACCACACATGAGCATTCGAGCCCTGACTGAAACAGATTTGTATTAGATGTATATTCTAGTTATCTGTCTGCAAGCCACACAGGCCCACTGCACAGTGTCAATCACTCAGGACCATATGGTGTCTAGTACAAAGGCGGTGGCGAGTAAATAAAAAAAAAACATCTGCTGCATTGTGTAAAATAGGGTGTTAAATCGTGAAAATGCCCTGCAAAAGACGAAAAATAAGCTGTGAGTAAGATAGTCATACATTCGCTGTGCATTTAATATATTAACATTAGATATGAACGCATATCGAATATAATTTATACCCAATCTGTTTTGGATCGTCATGGCAACATGTTGCTTGTTTGAGTGGAGTGGATCGCCAACAGCCTACCGGTTTGTATATACAATAACATGGCATAGTTTCAAAACTCTTGTATTTCATTTCCACTGAAGATTACTACATGCCTCTCACCATTCTTGATTCAACCCTTGCCGTCCGTGCAGTATTTATTTTTTACATAAATAACACGGCGCTCGTTGCTGCCGCTTGTGACACGGAAACAATAACAAGCGTCTAACAAAAGAATCACACCTTGCACGATGTGTTAATTACACAACCCCCAACGTTTTTGTAACCATAAAGCACTGCGTCACTGAAACCGATAACCCTTGTGGCCATATTTTATTTTTTAACAATCGACAACCCTTTTTTATTAACAAAGCTTGATAAGCATCACTGAAATCGACACCCTTTGACGCCCGTACATTTTTTTATATTTTATTGTGATATGACTCTGGCAGTCTGTAATACAGCGCTCGCTGTTGCGTCACTGAAATCGACAACCCTTTTTTTGTTATTAACAAAGCACATAGGCATCACTGAAATCAACACCCTTTACATTTTATTGTGATATGACTCTGGCAGTCTGTAATACAGCGCTCGCTGTTGCGTCACTGAAATCGACAACCCTTTTTTTGTTATTAACAAAGCACATAGGCATCACTGAAATCAACACCCTTTACATTTTATTGTGATATGACTCTGGCAGTCTGCAATACAGCGCTCGCTGTTGCATCACTGAGATCGACACCCTTTGACAAACCATTAACATATATGCTGGCCGAGTGCGGTCACTGGCCGTGACCGGTCACCGGCCGAGTAGAAATCTGGCCGAGTTCGGTGGTCACCTGAATAGGTAATCACTCAATTCAACTCTGAGGATAGAAATCTAAATAAGTTTGATTGCAGTCTGTATTTTACAAACTCAAACCATTTCTTGGTGCGATCATGTGTTAATCATTGTTATTGAAGAGGGAAGGCAAGGGGGTAGCTGGTACGGTTTTACGGGAAACAAAAAGGGCTTTTTACAATTTACAAGGGAAAAAAAGACGTTTTTACAGTTTACAATGTTAAATCAAAGAAAGCTTAAA